CTGGAAAAGATAAAGGGTGGATTCGGCCCTGGAGGCTCCCGAGGGGATGCAGCCTTTGACGTTAGCCTTGCAAGGCCAGTTTCTGGCTCCAGGCTTGCGAGTTTACAAATGTGTGTTTTAAGCTACTAAACGGTGCAGATCTGTTACAGCCACAGCAAGGAACTAATGCAGGCCCTATCGAGTGCATTATATAGATATGTTGTGGGAGATTTATGGCCACGTCACTGATTCATGGTCTCACGTAGGACATTACTTTTAGTGAAATTATTAACCTAACTTCAATGTTAAAGTCTATACCTGGAGTTTTTAAAGAAGCTTAACAGCTGAGCACTCAGTAAATACCAAGCATCTGTTAAGTGACTTTCCTGTGTGAGCTCCTTCAGTCCTCACAATTACCGGATCACATCAGTCTGGCCATCAGCCCATTTACAGAGGGGAAGACTGAGGAGGCTCAGAAGGCCTAAGCAACCTGCTGGTCAGTGGGGGAGGTCTGCTGCCCCGCTCCTTGGCCCTGGGAAAATCAGTGAGCAGCCCTGTTGGGCCTGGGTGAACGGCTCCAATCGCTGTTTACAGCCCTATGACCTGTGGCTTTGGGCCCCAGGGAGAGGACCTTCTCAGGGTCAGCAGAGGCCACGTGGCCCAGAGTCACCAGCCTTCTCCCAGTTGCTCCCTCCCAGTCTGGTGTCATTCTGATCACCGGCTACGAGGGGCCTCCCCAAAATCCCTGGTGAGATGGTGCAGGGCCTGGGAACAGAGGAGGCACAGTCAGCACCCAGGAGCCCCCCAAATGCCCCCACACTGCACACAGATTGCCACCAGAGAACGTAACTCCATTTTCTGAGGACAGCCTCATCACTAACCAAGTTGTGCCCTGGTGACTGGGGAGGGGTGGGGTCTTTGGGGGTGGACAGTCGGTTAGAAAGCCCACTTTTCACTAGCACGCTCCACATTTTGGTCCTCTGCTGGGAAGCTCGAGAAAGCTCAGCTGTTTCCCAGGCCAGCCGTGCAGAAAACAGACCACGGCGGGCCGCCCGTCTGCCTGCGCACTGCATGTCTAGACAGTGTGGGTCTGCGTTTGCGCTGTGATTCCTCTCGGAAACCATGACTCGCTGAACGGTTTGCCTGCTGTCACAGGAAACCGGCTCTCGGGCGCTGCTCCTTGCTCCACCTCCATTCAAGGTCTGGTTCATCCCTAGGGGATTTACAGCCCCAGTAGCCAGCCAAGAGCATGAAGCATACCTGGGCAAGAGTGACTGTTTTATTACATTAACGCCCTGAGAAATTATTTGGGGAGAGAAACACCAAAAGTTCTCTCAATTAAATCACGAGTTGAAAATCTGGGGGGACTGGAGGGGGGCTTCTGGAGCATCTCTGTTCTCAGACTGTGGATCTACACTATCACTTTACCCTCTCACGGTGGCCCCCTAAACCTTCTCTCGCTTTCTTCCTCAAGTGGCTCTCCCGGCCAGGGAAGCCGAGAGGTCTCAGTGCCCTCCAGGACATGATTTTTCTGACCCCAGGTTTTTCCTTACTGGACTGTGTCAGGCCGAGGAGAGCCAGACGCCTTCACTGGAATCACTTTTGCTGATGGGATTCGATTCAAAGACCAACCAGTTGGTCCTCTCCGCACAGGGAAGCCCAGGAACTAGGGAGACACAGATGGGGGCTCCCCCGCGGTCTCCATCCTTGGCTGCGTTCACCCTAGAGGGATGGCGTCAGGCCTGCGACCCTGTGGCTGACCCCCGCTCCGGCTCCCCATGGTGCAGGCATTCTCCCTGGGGCCAGGGCTGCACATCGGGCTGAGACCAGAGTGCTTGCCCAGGAAGATTTGGTCGAGATTGTCTCGATGGCTGTCTTCTCAGTCTTCAGGTCCCTGCTGCTCCGGGCCGTGCACACAGGGTCCGAGGACAGTGGGCATTGTTGGGCCAGCGGCAGCAGGGAACCGCCTGCTGTGGCAGCATCTCGGCCCATAGGGCTGCCAAGCTCAGGCCAAGAGGCTGGGCTTCCCTCTGCTCACCTCGACAGCAGTGGGGGTGCCGGACTGGGCAGTAGGGGGGCAGGGGTCAGCAGGGCGAGAGGAGTGGGAGGAAGCTTCCTGGCAGAGGACCAGGAGGAAGCCTTCAGCTGGGGGCTGAGCCCCTGTGGGGGAGCGTGCCGGGGACACAGGTACGGCAAGCCCCCCTGGAGAGGCACAGGGGATGCTGACCTGGGGTGGCTCTTGTCACACTGGAGAAAATACCTGTGACCTTTCCCTGTCAAACTCTGCAAATCCGCCTGCTGACCCCTGTCCATGCACGGTCTGTGTAACTGGGGAAGGGGTTGGACTTGCCGAAATCTGGGGGGAGGCCTAGATCTGCCCCTCACAGCTGTGAGCCTCGGAGCCCCTGTCCCTTGGAGCCCTTGCAGTTTTCTGGCTCCCTGGAAGTGTCCTTCCTGCGGAGACCTTTCTCTCAGACCTGCCCCTCCCCCACACACACTGTTTCTCCTGTCATTCTGACCACTTCCCCTCCCCCCCACTCACTGTTCCTCCTGTGTCATTCTGACCACTTCCCCTTCCCCACACACATACACACTTGGCCACGGGAACCAGTGTACACTTGGGGGGCTGGCTTTCCTTTGTCCTCAGTGAAATCCTGATGAGGCCACCTGGGCTGTCAGCTCTCTCGTGGTTTTGGGGGATGAAACGCAGGTGCTAACGCCCTGGAACAAGAGCGTTCTGGTGGCTCCCGTGGCTCAGCAGGGCCAGCGTGGCTGGGGGCTTCGAGGTGCGGCGTGTGTAGCACACACATGTACAGGGGTCCCCAGAAATAAGGAAGGCTTGCAGGGGAGAACCGTCCTCCATTTGTGCTTCTCCAACTTCATGGAATGTCACCCAGGCACTTTTGGGGAAAAACTAAGCTTTGGGAGACTTAACTTAATCCCCCCTCCCCACCCCAGTCACAGAAGCCTGGTACCTGTCAGAGAAGGGCTGGGATCCCACGCCTGGGTGCCCGTCCCCTCGTCCTGTGGGCTGAAGGCTTGGCGCGGTCCCTGGGTTTAGCTGGGAGAGGCTGGCTCTGTCCTCCTTTGACAGTTTCTCTGCCCCTGGAAATAACCCCATTGACCAGAATTCTGAGTGTGAGGTGGGAAGGGACCTTAGAGGTCATCTAAGTCAACTTATAAACTGAAGTCAATCCTTAAAGTCAACCAAATTTTACTGTGGTTTTCAAAAATAAATTTGTGGGTTGGTCAAGCAGAGACCTGAGAGCACCAGCCTGTGTAGCCCTTACAAGCACAAGGATGGACGGTTCGGAAGGACCAAGATGGAGGAGGGCTGGGGGCGCGGGCACGAGAGAGGCAGGAAGGTGGAGAGGACAGGACAGAGAGTGCACAGGGCTGGTCACTCCTCAGCCCAGCCCTGGGGTCGGGGGCGTGTTTCTGCCAAAGACTCCAGTAGCTCGAGTGGCAGTGGAGAATCCTAGCCAGTCCGTTGCTGCAACAGTTGGATCACAGACCAACAGGGCTTTCCTAAGGCGATTCCGGTGCGATTGTCAGCAAGAGCAGAGTGTCTGGGCTCACTGAGACATGCTCCCCTCTGCTCCCCCAGTGCAAAGCCCTCTTCCCCACCCGCCTGCCCCTTCTGGTGATGTCATTAAATTGCCCCTCGGTGAGCAGCTCCACGTAAAACCCGAAAAACCTACTGCAATTACAGTCTGAGTTCTCTTCTGTCCCCAAGGGCGTCTCCATGTGTAAGAAAGGAAAGGGAGGACATGGCCGTTGGCCTCTGGTTTCTGGGCTGCGGAGAAGGGGCCTTCGGGGGCGGTGGGGGGCAGTAAAGGGGGCCAAATGGGTGGTGATGGAAGATGATTTGACTTCAGGTGGTGATGGGCACACAGTGTGATACACAGATCACGTATCTTAGAATTGTACACTTGGAACCTATATGAATATCACCCCCAACAGATTTCATTTAAGACAGATCTTTTAAAGAGAGAACACCTACTTCCTTGCAGTGACATTTGAAATTCTTGGGGCTTCCTCAGAACATGGCGTTAGCTGAAGCTGGGTGTTTCAGACATCCAGAAGGAGATAAATGCTCCGTGATGGATGGGTCTGAGTTAGAAGGAGAGAAATTTGTGAGTTTCTCTGCCAAACGATTTCAAAGTTTACAACTGTATGCCGCCGGGCTTGTTCCTCCAAGTCCACAGACCAGCAAACTGGCCATGGCGGTCGCCTCCCAGAGGTGGGTGGGGTTGTGGGGACCGGGGTGCCTGGGGAACACTTTACTATATAGTCCTTTGCGTATTTTCAATTTGAAGCCATACAAATGTTTTCATTGATTAAAATTTTGTTTTTAACTTTAAAAAAATTTAAAAACATCTTGATAAAAGCAGCTTTGTTTTCATTTTCAATTTTTAAAATCTATAACCTTTATTATATTTTCCCATTACCACTTAGTCCTCCTATAGGAGGGCCCTCCCCCAGCCGAGAAAAACTCGGTCAGGTGCACACCACCCTCCTTGGTCGCTAAATCCGAGAGCTAGAAGGACAGGAGCGATTTAACCCAGCGACATCACACAATACACAGCTTACATTGTAAAGATGAGGACCGAGACGCAGAGGACTAGGCAGGACCGCCTGGGAGGTCGCGGGCAGTGAGTGGCAGACTCAGGGCCAGGGCAGGTATGGGGCTCTTTCCAGCCCTCCCTGCTGCCTCCCGGGGACACTAACTATGGGGCCCCTGGGAACGACATCAGAGATAAGTTCTCGGTGTGTTTTTCGAATCCCACTGTTGAACATGCCACCGCCGTCCCTGACCATTTCCCAGTTGGCAGCCGTCGGGAACGTTCCACAAAGTGGAGGAGGAGTGACAAGCTGCTTGCCAATGAAAGGCACAAGCGTGATGTAGTGGACGATCCCCGCCACCCCTTGTCAGTGGAGGCTGTTCTACCGGGGGGAGGACTGTTGCCATGAGCAGGAGGAAGCCCTGCCTAATGCTGCCTGTGTGTGTCTCACTGCAGAGTCATCAGCTACGAGTGCTGCCCTGGGTACGAAAAGGTCCCGGGGGAGAAGGGCTGTCCTGCAGGTGAGTGAATCAGGCCTTGCCTGTCGGTGCAGATGGAGGGCAGTGGCGGGGGGGATGAGCACCCACTTAAAAGGCGGCAGCATCTGCGTGGGGCCCGCGGGGTGAGGCTGGGTGGACCTGCCCGCCCCGTGCCTCTGACCTCCAGGCTCCGCGCGAGGGCCAGAGGATGGACGCTGGACACTGAGCTGCCCTCACTGCTCCTTGCTGTTCAAGCAGACCTCGATGAGTGGCAGAACAGGCTCCAGCGCCCTACCCATGTTCAAGGGCTAAGAGCTTGTCGGCTCTGGCTGGGAGTGATTCCAAACACAGGCAGCGCTTCTGACCTGCCGTGCTAGAGAGCAGATGGGACAGGCGTGGTCTCTGGCTGGGCCGGGAACACCAAGTCACCCCCGCCTTGCTCGGTGGAAACCCAGCCCATTGGAGTGCCGCAGCGGGGAGAGCAGCAGACCAGGCGGGCTTAGCCCCAGGCAACAGAGGATGCCACGAATGGCCACCTGTGGCCAAGGGCCACATGGCACCTGTGAATGTCGGTGGAGCCTCCCTGTTAGTCCCCATGCGCCACCAGGGACTGTGCAGGGGAGATGTTTTATAAACTTTGAAATATTTGCTATTTTATTAGTTGAGAATGTGAGACCAAGACTTAAAAGGAAGGGGGCCAGTTAGGTGGGTGCCAGGGTCACCAGGGGGTGTGGTTGGCACCCCCGGGCCACGGCCTCCCTGGCCTACGTGGAAGGACAAGTGGGGATGTGGAATGGGAAAGGAGCGTGACCATAGAAGGGGGGAGCCCAGCCTGTGCACCCAAGGGTCACACCCCGGATCCGGACAGCAGGCTCGCCGTGTGAGGGAAGGCCCCCCTCGGCTGCTGTGGACACACGCAGTGCCACAGAGACTCGTGTGTGTGCGGTTCTCTCAGTCCAGGAACGAGTCTCAACAACTGATAAGCGTGAAAGCCTGGTCGGTAGCACTTCTGGCCTGCATTCCCGCCTGCATCATCTCAACGCCTGGGGCCTAAAGCTTTGCTCCGATGTGGTTAAAATGATTAAAAATTACCAATTGGTCCAGTTCCAGTAGGGAGGCATTAGACAGAGTTATTTTAAGAAGATCTAGACCCCCACCAGCAGACCGTCTCCAGCCCTTTCCCCGGCTCCTTCCTGCAGACGTGCCCTCCCCCTCTGCAACAGGGAAGGGTGTGGCCCGGTGGGGGGCAGCCTCACAGCCCACCCACTCTGTCCTCTGCCCCTGCAGCTCTGCCACTTTCAAACCTTTATGAGACACTGGGGGTTGTTGGATCGACCACCACTCAGCTGTACACGGACCGCACCGAGAAGCTGAGGCCCGAGATGGAGGGTCCCGGCAGCTTCACCATTTTCGCCCCCAGCAACGACGCCTGGGCTGCCCTGCCAGCTGTGAGTCCGCCTCCCCCTGCGGGGTTCGGGCTCTTCCTGGGGACCGCCTTACACCCCAGGGGGCGAGCGTGAAGGATGAGACTACGCAGGGATTTCCCACTGTCTCAGGAGACAAGCCAGGGACCTCCAGCTGAAGCAGATCTCACCAGGTTCTTCCAACTGGAGAGGTGACCCCAGTGTCTTCTGAGGAGGGGCCCTGGCAGAGTAGGGGCCTGGGCCACCCGGGCTGCAGAGCATCTTGGCCTGGGTAGCAATGCCCGTCTCTTGAACCTGGGGTCCGCGGCCCCCTAAGCACCGCACTGCCCTTCCCCCAGGAAGTGCTGGACTCCCTGGTGAGCAACGTCAACATCGAGCTGCTGAACGCCCTCCGCTACCACATGGTGAACAGACGCGTCCTAACGGACGAGCTGAAACACGGCCTGGCTCTCACCTCCATGTACCAGAACTCCGACATCCAGATCCACCACTATCCCAACGGGGTAGGGCGTCCCCGCGGTGCGGCACTGCCAGGGCCCCGGGGGCTGGCGCCAGCGCTGTGGTCCCGCAGGGGCGTAAGCTGCAGACGCCCCTGTGGCCCCTGCGTCTTCTCCGCGGGCTCTCTAGTCCCACAGTATGTGGGCCCCACATGCTGTGCCGGGTCTTCCCTGCCTGGGGCTTCGAGACAGTGCTTCTGTGAGCTAACCTCGAGTCTTCGCCACTTTTCTGGGCAGATTGTGACCGTCAACTGTGCCCGGCTGCTGAAAGCTGACCACCATGCAACCAATGGAGTGGTGCACCTCATTGACAAGGTCATCTCCACCACCACCAACAACATCCAGCAGATCATCGAGATCGAGGACACCTTCGAGACCCTTCGGGTGAGGCGCTGCCCGGGGCAGGGGGCCCAGCCCACCCTGCTTTCCGAGGCAGGGGGCTGCCTCTGTGGGAGGAGCCGAGGAGGTCTCCATGTCTCAGGCATTTAGGGAACACGAATCCAGTTCCTCTAAATGCCCATGAATTTGGAGATTCCGTTAATCAGAGCCCCAGTGTGGCCACAGTGAAACATCGAGACTGTGTGCCGTAAATCCCCTCAGCCCTTCGTCTTCTGTGTGAAGCTTCCCTCCCCTTCACTGCCCTGGAAAGTCAGTGGCTGTGGCTGCAGCAGACCAGGGTCCTCTGAGCGGCCAGGGATGAACCCTGTGGGTTCCAGAGGTGGGGGTGCTCCCTCCCAGTTGGGGTTCCCACGTGTGGGATTCGAATAAATGGCCAGTTGGCATGATCTTCTTGACATGTCCCCGCCGTGGGACCCCTGCTCCCGCCCTACCCATGTTTCCCTGGAGCCCAGGCCGGCAACCAGGGGGCTGCAGGACACTGCCCCTCCCCCATTACCCAGCAGACATTTGTCCTGCAACCTGAGTGACAAGCGGGTGTTCCTCTTGGCAACAGCTGCCCAGAGGAAGTGAACACAGGCTGCCCCGTCAGGGTTTCTGCCCTGATTCAAGAACTTCCTGACCACAAAGGATGCAGAGTGGGAGTGGGGCGGCCCCGCCCCTGGAGATCTCCAACACACAGAGACAAACACCCCGGGCTGGGCTGGCACCCAGGGGCCCTCAGGAAGTGACTCTGGCAGCCTTGGGGACCCCGCTGCCTAAGTTCTTCCCCGCTTCCCTCCCGGGTCACTCACAGGTCAGGGTCTGCTTGGGAAGGATGTTCCCACAGAGTGGGTGGCACATCTTTTGATTAACATCCTTTGACCCCACCAAAGGACCTCTTACAGTTTAGGTTTGGCAACTAGGCCTTGCTTGCTCCTCCCTAACGCCCATCTTTTCTTCTGTGAACACGTGAAAGCACCTGCTACTTCCCAGGCGTTGCCGTGCACGCCCAGGGTAGCGAGGTGAACGCCAGACTGTGCCTCCACGGCACCTGTGTTCTTCCTGGGCTGACAGACAAGAAACAAACAAGGTTCCCGCAGACTGTGCTAAGTGTGCGAAGGCAGGAAGTGGCGGGCAGAGGAGTCTGGTTGGGACCAGGTGATCAGAGAAGGTCCCTGGAAGAGGTGACTTTTGAGCTGAGGCCTGACAGATGAGAACAGCCGGTTACACAAAACTCGGGGTCTGAAGCCCAACGGGCAGAGGGAGGGCAGCAGTGAACAGGAGCAGGGGCTCGGAGGCCGGCAGGAGGCCGGAGGGGCCAGAGGGAAGATAGCCAAGGGGAGGGGCGAGGCCGGGCGGGCTGCGGGCAGGGCAGCTCCTTCAGGCCGGCAGACCTGGCCCAGGAGCCCAGCTTCATCCGAGGGCAGCCAGACGCCACCTGTGCTTGCAGATGCTTCTGGCTGCTCTGCAGATAGCGGGCGACATGATCTTTATACTCACACGACCCACACAAGTCATCGTCACCAGTAACTGTTTAATTATGACGTGAGGACAGCAACCTGCTTTATTTAGTATGTGTAACGGCCCATTTCATGGGGGCAGTGGCCGGTGAGGTGGGGGCATGAGGCAATGTCCCATCGACTACCTAGAGAAAGGACATTTTAGTTAGAGCCCAAAGAAGGACGAGGAATCACAGGAGCAAAGATGGGAAGGGTGGGGGTGCGGGCTGGAGGCGGGAGGGGAGAAGGCCCGTGCAGTGCCTGAGAGGTGGCCAGAGGGGCCAGGCCCCAGACGGCCCCCACCGTGGCAGCCAGTGAGCTTCTGTTTGGCCTTTCCTTCCACCTTGGGCTTCACTGGCAAGGCTGCGGCTGCGCGTGTCTTTTCCTCTGCAGAAATTCCCAGAGCCTTCAGGGGGTGCTCCGTCCTCTCCCCTCCCCCACAGGCTGCCGTGGCCGCCTCCGGGCTCAACACCCTGCTGGAGGGCGACGGCCAGTACACACTCTTGGCGCCCACCAATGAGGCCTTCGAGAAGATCCCCGCTGAGACCTTGAACCGCATACTGGGTGACCCAGAGGCCTTGAGAGGTGAGCACCCCTCAGCTTCTGTTGCCGACTCACGGGTGCTGCCGCACAGAGCCCGAGGCCTGCTCCCATCCAAGGTAGACAGGCCACCTGCCGTCCTGTCCCGTCGCTCCGGGCCAGCCCAGTCTCTGCAGAGGCCTGGTCAGAGGGGTGCACGGAATCGGCAGCTTGTGCCTAGGGTCGCCGTTGGGCTGAGGAGGGAGGCAGAGCTGGAGGCTGACAGCAGGCCCAGGCCAGGCACAGGGGGAGTTGGAGGCCCCAGGGATCAAAGGCTGCACAAAGCTGCTGGGTGGGCAGCAGCTTGGCGGTACCGGGAGGGCCTGGCCCGTCCTGGGATCCTTGAAATGGAGTCATCACGCTGGCCCTTGAACTCTTCCTGGCCGGGCTCGTCTGCGCTCCGCAGTGGGCCTTGGAGCTGGGGCGCGCTGATCATCACTGGAGGGCAGGGGAGGACCGAGCATGCGAGGGGAGTAGGAGGGGAGACCGGGCTCTGTGCCAGCCCCCAGCCTGTCCCACTCTGTCCACGGGCCACTGAGCTGCTGCCTGGTGGTCCCTGTGTGTGGGCTCAGGTCTCCCGAGTGTCCCAACCACCCCTCTTCCTCCAGGATATAACCCAGGGAGGACTTCATTGCTTTTGAATCTACGTAAGCCCACCTTTGAAATGTAGGACCGACGTGCCTGGTACATTTCTGACACCCTGTAAACACAAAGGGCTCCCCCCCCACGCGGAAAGGTGTCCAAAGAAATGCCGTTGGGCACAAGCCACACAGACAACACCCAGAACAAAAGCTTTCACCACCGCTAAGTGAACCGTATTACAAAGTGAAAATAAAAACCCACCCCTAATTTATCCTTTATGCACATCTGCCTTTTCTTGCTCAGTGACCCATTTGCTCAAAGCCAGAGTCATCTGTGGGGCCTGGGCTGGCAGCTGGAAGGCAGGGGACATGAGTTCATCCCACAGTGTCCTGTGGTTCCTCATGGGCTGGCAGACAGGCGAGACGCAGCCCTGGGCCCGTGTGCCTCGTCGGAAGCCTGGCTTCCAGCCCTGGCCCAGCTCACCCCGCCAGTGGCCCCGGCAGGTCCCCTACCCCGGCCCTGCTTTCAGTTTCCATCCTCCGGAAGCTAAATCCCCAGGGCCTCATTCTCACAGAGACCTAGCTGTCCTCTCTTTTCCCCGCTGGCTGAATTGGGTCACTGCCGGCTTTCAAGTCTCCCGCACTTCTGCAGGCGCCCAAGGGCCCTGCAGGGCCTCCGACCTCCCCCCTGACCATAGAGGTTTTCGTTCCCACAGGCAGGACACACAGAAACTCGCCTCTGCTGCGAGAATAAGACAGGGGTTTTGGTGACAGTGGTGAGTGGCAGTCCCAGAGCCTGCTCTGCTGGGCCGGGGCCGGCACGCATCCCCCTCGTCTGTACCCTGTAGCTTCCTCAGGGCCCCCAGCCCCTAATTGGTCCCCAAAGCAGCACTTGGATGATTATACTTATGATCCATGGTCCGGGTGAGTGGGGTGGCAAAGACCAGGCCCTGCTGGTGCCCATTCCCGACCCCTAAGGCAGCCTGGCAACTAACTACCAGACCTTTGGATAAAATGTACAAAAGCTAATAAATGTACAAGTAACTCGTAACCTCATTTACTGGTTCCCATCTTTCCGTACCACATTTCACATCTTTGTTAATGTCCGTAGATAAGAAGTCCCAGGGTAAACTCCTTTGAGTGTCCCCTTACCCCTGAAGTTCAGGTATGAACAGGCTAATCACAAACAGGTGCCAGCTTTTACTCTGTCCCACTGGGTGCCTCACACCCAGCTTCATCCTCGCCCCAGCCTCAGGAGACGAACACTCTGCTGACCTCCATCTGGCTCTAAAAGGCCAAGTGACTTGCCTCAGGTCCTACAGTCGGTAAGTGGCTGAGCTGGGACTCGAATTCAGGCAGCCTGACCACAGAGCCCCGGCTGGTTTTACAGGGGCAGCAGGCAGGAGGAGAGGAGAATCTGGGCCACGAGGTGCTGCAGCCTCGCTGGAAGGTTAGCGCTGCAGGGGACAGACTCCTCAGAGCCAGGGGCAGGCCCTGCTGACCCTCCTGTGTGCTTTGGCCCCCAGACCTGCTGAAGAACCACATCCTGAAGTCGGCCATGTGTGCGGAAGCCATCATCGCAGGGCTGTCCCTGGAGACGCTGCAGGGCACCACGCTGGAGGTGGGCTGCAGCGGCGACATGCTCACCGTCAACGGGAAGCCCATCATCTCCAATAAAGACGTCCTGGCCACCAACGGGGTGATCCACTTCATCGACGAGCTGCTCATCCCAGACTCGGGTAAGCCAGGCTCAGGGTGCCTTGGTCCTACCAGGCCCACTGTCCCCTCTGCCATCCATGGTGGCAGAGCCGGGGGAATTCAGGGATCTTTGGGGCTGACTTCCCGCCTGCACCCAGCTTGCAGCCCCTGGGAAGAGAAGGCTGGGCATGTGGGGGGGCTGTAGCCAGAGTGCGGAGAATCCTGAGCTGCAGGGCGGGGCGGAGGGGGGGGGTGGCCAGTGGAGAGCCATCAGAGGCATCGGGGGAGGGAGCGATGCGATCACAGAAGCCTCTCAGAAGGTCTGCCCGCTGTAGCTGGCCGTGCAGGGCCATTGCTTCCTCAAGAGTGCACAAGCATCCCAGGGTCACTGGCCCTGGGAGAAATGACCGAATGGACTGTAGCTTGGGTTTCATTCAGCATCCCAGCCCCATTCTGAAATTCCAGGAAGGTCCACGTTCTATGAGTGCCAGATTCTCAAAAGAAAAACCAAACCAGGAGAAAACTCTTTCCATGGGTGTGGTCACTGGTCTTCTCTGCACTTCAGAAGAAGCCATGACACAGACAGGGTGCCTTTGTCCCTGGCATTCGACAGTGCCCCGACCAGGGAGGTTTCCTGGGTGACCGCCCCCTGCCGGACGAGCCCGCAGTGCCCCAATGCCGCAGTGTTTGGAGGCGTTGTAGACTCATGAGGTGACATTCCTGCTGATGTATGTCATGCTCTGGGGTGCACGGATGACAAACGAAAACAGCACTTTTAACTTTTGAACCCACTGTCTCCTTCCTTGTAGCCAAGACGCTGTTTGAGTTGGCTGCAGAGTCCGAGGTCTCCACCACAATCAACCTTTTCAAACAAGCAGGCCTCAGCTCCCATCTTTCTGGAAATGAGCAGTTGACTCTCCTGGCCCCCCTGAATTCCGTCTTCAAAGGTGATGTGGGGAAGGCGCCCCTGTGGGTGCGTCACTGGGGGCAGCTGCCCCGCCGCTGTCACCTCCCTGATTTATAGCGCCTGGCAGAACATTAGCACTCCCACCCAGCTCAACTGAGAGCAGATGTAACTTCACCAGAAACTTTAGAGCCGCTGCTGTTTTCTTTGGCAGAGCAGAGAATGCATTTGGGGCTCTCGCCCTCAGAACTGAAGAGTCTGCATCCGCTGGGGGAGCAGAGCACTCCCCTGCCTCTTTATTTGCAAGGGCAACGGTGAGGGTGATAGTTAGGCAGTCAGAGGGGGGATGCAGCTGAGTCGTGATCACAGGGACAGTGGAGACAGGGGCCAGCTGCATCCATGCCTTCTGCTCCCTCTCAGGGTAAAACTCCAAACTGCCTCGATTCTCTGGACCTTCTTGTGTTCTAATCTGCAGAAGCTGCCAGATGTTAAGGAGTATTGCAGCCTCGTTTGATCTCTTGATCTCCGTCTCCAAAGTCAGGGAGAGCCCGGCTTTAGGCCGCACTCGTCTCTGCTCTTCCTTGCGGGGCGTGTGCCTGCACCTGACCGCACCTTCTCTTGCAGATGGAACCCCTCGCATTGACGCTCGCACGAAGAACTTGCTTCTGAACCACATGGTTAAAAGCCAGCTGGCCTCCAAGTATCTGTACCACGGACAGACCCTGGACACTCTGGGCGGCAAAAAGCTGCGAGTTTTCGTTTATCGTAATGTAAGTTCAGGGCCCTCGATCACACTCCTCTCAGCTCCAAGAAACAGGAGAGCTGTGTTAGTGTAAAAAAATAAGGAAGGAAAGAGTTTCTGCAAAAGATATCTGATATCAAAGGGTCAAATAAGCTTTTGCAGAAGGATTAGAATCCCTTTTTGTGGAGGCCTTCAGGAATAACCCGCACCCTTGGCCAGGCCTGCTGGGCGGGCAGCCGTCCGCTGGGAACTCAGAGTGAGGAACTCAGGGCGCAGGGATGAAGGTCTGCATCCTCCTCGGCCTGGGCGAAGAGAAGCCCTCTGGACTGAAGCACCGCCCTCCTTGGTCCAAAGGTTCTCTTCTCCCTTTTCCTGTCTCCCCTCTCCCTTCCAACCCAGCAGTTACCCGGGAACATCAGGCAGCAAGTACAACACACCGCGGCTCTTGCTCCAGACCAGCCTGCACCATGTGACCAAATAGTGTTGACACCTGATAAATACATAAATCGATAGACTTGGCCTATTTATTTGGCCATTGTCAGTGGACCTCATGTGTCACATGATAGTCTTATTGCAGGCCTCTGTGGGACTTTATCGGGGCCTCTGTGGCCCTCTTTCTGAATTAAGGAACACATTTTTATGTTTTTCTTTCCCGGAGAAAACACATTATTTTATCCTAGTCATGAAAACCCATCCCAGTGTGTATTCACTGGCGTTTGCGGGTGACCCCATCAGCACAGAGCAGGGGACCACTTCTCGGGGGGGGGGTAACCTGCCCTCCTCACTTGCTCCACCCAGAGCCTGTGCATTGAGAACAGCTGCATCGCCGCCCACGACAAGAGGGGAAGGTACGGGACCCTGTTCACCATGGACCGCATGCTGACCCCTCCAATGGGGACCGTCATGGATGTCCTGAAGGGGGACAATCGCTTCAGGTAACCAGCCCCATCCCAGCGCATGGCTTCTGCCAGGGGGTCGTGCTGGGTGTTGGCTATATGTCAGGGTCCCCCCTCCCCCTGGGCATCAGGGAACACTAGTGACACACACTGATGTTACCTTCCAGGCTTGTGGGAAAGAGGCCCTTGAAAGCCGCAGCTGAGAAAACAGGTTACTTCTGGGAGTGGGGCCCTCACCCACATGGGGGAGGGGAGAGGCTGCATTTTTTCATTTGAGTGCAAGGAAAGCCTCGCGCCCTCGATTTACCGTCCTGGGCGAGCCAGGAGCTCCCAGTTTCGAGTGCCCATGAGCCCCCTCTGCGTAGTGTCCACCGGTCGCACTTGAGGACTTCCTGCCGTGCCTTCTCGGGCTGTCTGTGTCGGTCTCCTGGCCCGAGTTCTCCATTTCTGACCTCCTCGCTCACCACTCGGTGCTGAGACACTGAGGGTCTCCTGTTACTGAGGTCGGCCACCTGTGCGACAGCCCGGGGGGCCCACCCGGGGCCCAGGGGCTCGGCCAGGCTCCGGGTCAGCCATGCTGCTGCCCCTTCCTTCCTTTTTCCACCTCTGGCCTCTGGCTTCTGGCCGTTTAACTGAGCTTAGCATTTAGGAGAGAAGATACAGACTGGAATTAGTTGTCCCTCTTTGTGCATAGGGGGGAGGGGGAGTCCCAGTGCTCTGGGTCCCAGCTGCCCGCAATGGGGAGACGTATGAGGGAAAGACACGGCCCCCGAGGCAGGTGACATTTTCTGTGCGTGTGCCCGCAGCATGCTGGTGGCCGCCATCCAGACTGCAGGGCTGACAGAGACGCTGAACCGGGACGGGGTCTACACAGTCTTCGCCCCCACAGATGAAGCTTTCCAAGCCATGCCACCGGGAGAACGGAACAAACTTTTGGGTAAAGACCAGCTTGAGTCCATGTTGCAGCTTTTCTGAAGTCCCTGTGTCAGTCAGGGTCCCCCAGGAAAGAGCTGGCCCAGCACAAAGGGTTTGGCCAAAAGATGAGTAACAGTGAGACTATTGGCAGAGGTGTGGGTAGGATTAAGGATCCAGCAAAGTGTGACAGCACCCAGGGATTAAGAACCCTGAGAAGCCTTTGCCGCCCCAGGCCTGGGGCAGGGTGGTGGGTGGAACCAGGGAGAGCGGGACCAGGGGCACAGGACAGTGGGCAGCGCCACAAACAGCTGCCCTCCGAGTTCTGGTCACCTTGTGCCTCAGCCCCGATCCGTTCCCACACGCGCACTGCCTGCCAGGCCGCATGTCGGCTGGTTGCAGGAGGTGAATGAGGGAGCCTGGAAGACACGTTTCTCAACATCAGCCTTCCTGGCACCAAACAGGGCAGAGAAGAGCAGAGAGGACTTCCCAGTGGATAACAACCAGCCAGTCACCGCCGCATGGCTTCCACTCAGGGCCTGTGAGTGGAAGCCATCTACCTGCATCGCATGTTTTATCCCGGGATAAAAGCTGTACGGAGAAGCTGGTCACGACCCTGAGAAATGAGGTTGAGAATGTTTGAGCAGAAATCGAGTGGTCAAGAGCTCGAGCTCCCAGATGATACGAATGCCAGTTCAAATCCTGGCTCTGGCATTTGCTAGCTGAGTGGCCTCTAGCAGGTTGCTTAACCTCTCTGAGCCTCGGTTTTCCCATTAGAAAAATGGGGATGGTAAGAGTACATGGCTCAGTGCGTTGAGGATTAAATGAGGTGTTCCCCACAGTGCTGAGCATGTATCCTCCATCAGTAACAGCTGGGGTAGAGGGGAAGGTGGGATGGGGTTGTGGCGCTAAGTTCTGGCATATGCTCATGAGAGACACTTCCACCCACCACAGAAGGTGGGCCTAAGAAGGAGGAGGAGGAGGAAGGACCTTGGCCAAACCCTGGGGCCGTAGTCTACACCTCCCTTCCTGCTCTGGAACAGAATAGAAGGTTCAGGTTGCAGGCAGCTGTGAGCTGAATTTGTGTCCTGTTTAATTTTCTTTATTGCTGAATGAATGCCTATGTCCCTAATGCTGACATGTGTTCCTGAGAATAGGGAAGAAGTTCATGCTGAACATAAACTTTCCACCTTCTCTCTGTCCAGCAGGGACGAAATATTCCCCAGGTGGCCTGAGCCTGCTCGGCTTCCGTTTCATTTTCGGCTGCGTGGGAGCAGAGGGGGGTGGGGGCCGAGCTTCCCAAACGTGCCCTCCTGCGGGCCCATTGGTGGGATGGGACCCCAGCACTCCTGGGCATGGAGGGCCAGCCGCATAGCAGACACCCCCCTGTGGCTGGCAGTGTTTCTGGGGGCGGGGAGCTCTGGCCAGACGCAGGCTCTGTGTTGGAAATCGCTTGGTACCTGGTGGCTCCCTCCCCCAGCACTGACGTGGATGTGTGGGTAACCAAGTGAACTCTCCAGAATGCTTTAAAACTTCCTGCCTTCTCAGTTCCAAGATGCTGGAAACAGCCCTGGGGAAATTCACTCGTTTGGCTGGTTATGTGAGGATCAGGGGGTAGCCTCGATAGAGATGAGAGAGCAGCTGGCGGCTTGAAGAACTGCCTCCCACACTTAATTTGGGAAATGCCTGTGCACCTTGATGAGCCATCTGATGCTTTCCAGTCGGCGGGGAGGTGACGTGGGTGGAAGGAATGCTGGGGCGTGAGGCGGGGGACCCAGGGCAGGAATGCCCCCTCGGCCCTGACCTCATCGGCTCCATAGCTCCTCCAGATTGCAGCTGTCGACTCTTTCAAGTTCTCCCTTCAGGAAATAGCCAGTCTCTGAATATGCGTTTGAGAGCAGAATGTGTAAATATTTCACTACTGTTATAACTATCAGGAGCCATGCTGATGATGAAATGTCCCAGATGCCAGTGCTGGAAGGTCCCTGGCTTCCCAAACAAATATTTTAGCTCACGGAAGCATGAGTCACACTCACAGAGGGGTATGGGTTAACTCCTTCTCAGCACCACAACTCAGCAGCCCGCCGGCTGCAGGGGAGGTTCATGGCCATGGACATATGCCTTGTTCGCCTGGTCCCAGTGGAGTGGTGGGGCAGAGGGCTGAGCACACAGCAGTGCTCAGTGAGTATTAGCCAGGCAAGTTCTCCAATTCGGGGGTGACCTTTTATATCTTCTCCTATGGGCCCTCCTTGGCCACGCCAATGATCAACCTTGCTATTAACTCTGCTTTCTTTCCCACAAACCTGCAGGCAATGCCAAGGAGCTTGCCAACATCCTGAAATACCACGTTGGTGATGAAATCCTGGTTAGCGGAGGCGTCGGGGCCTTGGTGCGACTGAAGTCTCTCCAAGGCGACAAGCTAGAAATCAGCTCAGTGAGTGTGCCTGTGGATTAAAAGGCTGGCTATGGCCTGCCACCAGGGTTTCAGGGCCCCTCTCTTCCCCAGTACAGCAGTAGACACACACACGGTCTTTAAGACATACCTTGAATCTCTGAGTGCATTTTGTTAAAAAAAGAAAGAAAGAAAATAGAAAAGGATCTTCAGGGAAATCAAGTGAGACTGTAGTTAGACAAGAATAAGAACTTCCAGATTTGCAGGGAAATAAAGGCTCTGGTGAGCATCTAGGAGAGGCTATTGGATCTCCCTTCCCTTAAGGAGATGATGGGCAATGACTTATCTGTCTTGAGAGGTAAATCCCCATTCCCCTTCTCACTTCACCCAAGTCCAGGGCTCACTGAATTGTGCCATGAGCCAGACCATCCGAAAATGCTTCTCCGTGAGCCTGCCCTTGCTCTGCACGAGGAGATACATTCCACTTTGGAGCTGCCTGAGGCCTCCCTGGCTGCCCCAGCCATGGCCACTGGCCCCCTGCGGAGGGACCGCTCTTCCATTGTACGGCTGGCTCAGCCTCTGTGCCTGGCTCTCCCCCGCCCTTCAGCCATCCCTCTGCTCATTGGCTTCTCTCCAGAGCACAGGAAAGTGTGTAGGGAGGCAGGAAGGGCCACCCGAGACTCTCCCAGCTCTTAGATTTGCCTGTCAGGTCCTGTCGGTCACAGGCTCCGGTCCCCCCTCCCTGCCGTGGGTCTGATATGTGGGTTGTCTAGGGAAGCCTAGATAGATTTCCCCGGTGCGCATCCTGTGAGAAAGTCCCAACCAGGGCATCGAGCCAAAGCTCAACGAGTCCTTAACCCAGAGCTGGAGGCCTGGCTCTGTCCCCATCCATCCAAGTGGCTTAGTTTAAAGAAGGCCCCGGATCCCTCTGGAGCCTCAGTGTCCTCTTCTGTGAAGTGAGGCAGTGCTCCGTGCCTCATCCCCATACGCTGCTGTGAGGCGAAGTGAGGAACGCGGAGGAGCATCTTGTGAACCACAACACTCTGGGTCCACACGGGGGGCTGGGGTGAGTCGAGCAGACCGGAGGGTTGCAGCAGGCAGGGACTCCTGCTGTCACCAGGGCACCCCCGACACTTAGCCCAGGGTCCGCTGTCCAGACGCGCTGAGTCCACACTGGCCGAACGACTGGGGTGAGCATGCTTTCCGTTCAACGACTGTTGCCTTCTTTCTCCCAGAAAAACAATGTCGTGTATGTCAATAAAGAGCCCGTTGTGGAAGCCGACATCATGGCCACCAACGGCGTGGTCTATGCCATCTCCAGTGTCCTGCAGCCTCCAGGTAAGGCCCCGGCGTGGCCGCCTCCCCCTCAGTGCGCAGCTGCATTTCTCTAGCATTTGGTGGGCAGTAGAAAAGCTGTTCTAAAACATGGCAAGTAAAACAGAACCAGATCTACATGAATGACTATGTCTGGCCAGGGAATCCGTGTGGTGGAGCCCCTATTCAGCCACACACAGGAGGGCCCTCGGTCTGCAACCTGCTCTGAAGGTTTGGAGTCAGAAGCATCAGAGGCACTCAAGCCTCAACATCATTTATCCTGTTACTCAACTGTCTCACAAGGAACCGGATTCCTGTACCCGAGTCTTACCAATTGGTAATAGGAACTCTAATGCTCTTGAGAGGAGCTTTTTATATTAAAGAGTATTTGTGGTTTCTTTGGTTTAAAAAAAAAAGCTCTTCTAAGCAAAGATAAGAATAAGGTGGGGCACACAAACCCGCCTCCGTGGAGGGCACCTTGGTGGCTGAGGGAAAGTGAATGAGGAACTGTCCTTTCAAAGCCATCACAACGAGGTGCGTGAGGCCAGATCTGTCCTTTGCATGGCCTGGCTGGCCCAGCCCACTCAGACACAGCCCCGTCGGTTGTCATGCGCAGACTCGGTGAAGGTGGCTCTGGCAGCACCGCCCCCCCTCGCTCGTGCGTTGTTTTTCCTGGGTGCTCTCCCCCCACAGGCCGGATTCTGCCCTGCGTTATGGAAGTTGTAAGGGGAACATCCAGTGGCAAATGTGGGCCAGAAAGCCCAACGGTGCCCCTCGGTCATGGCCGTTAGGCAGCGACTTTCAACCTGTCTCATGTCACGGCACATATAAATGAATTACTAAAGTTCTGCAGCACACCAAAAATGTGTTCTTTGTCAACCTAGCCAAAAGAATAGGTATAATTTTGATTCATTCACATTGCACAGCTAACGTTGTGTTGGCTGTTGTCATTTTTTTTAATTTGACAGTTTAAGGGAAAAGAAGTCAGTGTCCCTGACTAAATAGTCAGGTACTGCATGTCTTAAAAATTCTTGTGGCACACCAGTTGAAAATCGCTGGTATTAGGAATGGCATGCTAATAGTGTCTCTCTCAGCAAAGCTGCTTTTTCTTTCATCTCCAGCCAACAGACCTCAGGAACGAGGGGATGAACTGGCAGACTCTGCACTTGAAATTTTCAGACAGGCAGCAGCGTTTTCCAGGGTAAGATGCCTGCTAGGTTTGGCCCTGGCCTGAGCAGCCTTGGTTGGGCCCCTGTCTTTCTGCGTGGGGCCACGGAGGGGCTCTCCGGATTCTCTGTCTTCCTCGGCTGCTTCCTCAGGGCTCTCTGGAAACTTCTTCCCTCTCCCATTAGGCGTCCTTAGCCCTGGCCTGTGTGGAGTTCAGGGTCAGGAACACAGGCAGTCCCGGCTTCTCAGGGCTTCAAACAGAGGCCCTGTCCGTGGGGAAGCTGCTGCTGGTGAGAACAGAGGCAGCCTCAGAATCCATCTCTCCAAGGAAGGCCACCCATCCTGAATCTGCCTGGTGGTGGCCTGGGCCTGTTTACCGTGATGTGGCCCCTCAAGGGTGCTGCGGGGGCTCCCTGGGCTGTGGTGTGGGTTCTGGACACAGGGCCAGCTCTGTGCATGGAGCCTTCACCCCTTTCCTCAGCTCCTCCCGCCTCAAGACCTTTGACTCTCTCTGCTGCTCTTCCTGCTTCTTCCCTCACCTGCCTGACATCCCAGGCCCAGGGCCTGGAGCCCCACCCAGGTGGCTCCGCTATTTCGGGGCAGGTGGAGCCCCTTGGGAATATGGAGCACCAGACAGAAGGCTTGCATTCCAAATACGAGGGTCTGCAGGAGGTAGCCCTTAATGCAGAGGCCTGCTGCTGGAATGTGTCACTCTCCTTTTGGACAGAGGGGTGTCCTTAGTGCCCCTCAGGAAGGTTCTCAGCCCTGAGCTCCAATTTCCCTGTGCAATCCCAGCCCCCCAAGCTCTAGGGTGGGGTCTTAGTGGAAGCATGGCTTTGGGGTGTCCTGGGAATGTTCACCTCAGGCTCCACTTGGTATGGGTTTGCTAGTCACTTAGAGCTGTGGAGGTGAACTGAGGGGCTCCCGGGGGACCGGCAGTCCCACATCCTCCTTCCTCTTCCTCATCCCCAGCATTTGTTCCAAGGAGGGGTGGCAGTGAGCAAAACCACTGCCACGAGCAGGTGCAGGCACACCTGTCACTCAAACTCCTGACACCTTGTGTTCTCTTTCAGGCTGCCCAGAGCTCTGTGAAGCTAGGTAAGTGCGGGCCGAGTCCGAGGTCCCCACAGACCTGTCTGGGCCTTACCCCAAGCAGGCCATCCCTACCATCTGCTGTATAGAGATAAAGGATGCGATAAAGCCAGCCCGGTCCTTGGGGCCAGGCGCAGAACACTCCATCTCCTCCTCTATAAGATGGAGATGATAAGTTCGTACCAGCCTTTCAGGGCCGATATAAATGTTTGGCTTCAGGAGCCTGGACATAGTGCACAGGGGCCTGGCAGGAGCCATGGTGAGGACGTGGTTCCCAGCTGGCAGTGTGGGAAATGCCAGTTCAGAACCTCACTGAGCCAGGAGGTTTCACAAACCGCAGGGGACTGCTGGGTGTGGGGGAGAGTGGCAGAAAGAGACCCCGTGGGCCCCACGCTCATGACCCCGACAGGTCCCAGACCGACGTGGGGAAGTGTGCGTCCTTCTCACCTTTCCAACCTCTGTCTTTCAGCCCCAGTGTACCAGCGGCTGTTGGAGAGGATGAAGCACTAGTGCGAAGCGCCACGGGGGGAGTGTGCTTCTGCAGCTCCCGGCCAGTTTCTCCCCGTTTGCCAAAGAGACTGAATGTTTTCGAAACCCAATAGCACACTTCAATGTACATGGGCCTCGCCAGAGTGAGGTCTGAGCCTTGGGCGGGTTGGGGGAGGAAGGAGAGAAGATGTACTTTTCATTTCTGTTCTCTCTAAACATGGCTGTGAACCCACTGCATGGAGAGACCTGGAAGTCACTGCCTGACATTCGCTTTCAGAAAGGACCTGTCCCAAACATGGAACCTCCTGCCTATGACCACTGCTCCAGAAAAGGGAACCGAAGTTTGTGGAGCTTCCAAAACATGCATCAAGCAACCCAGCATCTTGGGGCGTCCTGGCTCTGTCTGTGCTAGCGCTTCCTGCTGGAGAAATGGTGTCACTATAAGCTATGAGTTGCATGCTCTGTCAGACGTGGCTCCAGTCTACACATGGCTTGGACGCTTCTGTTGGCCAGTAGATGAGAGAGGGTAGGTAGAGCGCACAGAGCCCAGGATTTCCCAGATGTGGCAGAGCCATGATGTGTTTGTAATAATAAAGCCAAAGAAACCTATGCCCGCGTGGATGGGGACTGTGCTGTCCTGGGACTCTCTGGGGACGGGCTTCTGTGCTCGGGGCTGTGATGCTCCTTCGCACCGACAGCACCCCTGGGAGCGTCTCACCTGGGAGCCTGGAGGACGGGCTGCTCCTCAGATACCCAGACAGCACTTGGAGTTTACATCCCAGTCTTTGTGGCACATGGGTTCATTTCTGCTTCCACCAGCCCCGGGGCCTTGGGGTCCTCAGGATTCACTTCACCAGCATTTCTCTTACGGGCCCGAAGCATCCGTGTTCCCTTACAGCATTGAGACCCTGTGAAATGGGCACCCAAGTAGCTCCATTACACAGGTGAGGAGACCGAGGCTCAGGAAGGGGGAACCACTGGGGACAGAGAAAATGGCTGAGCTGGGGCTGGAAGCCCAGTCTCCCGACCCCAGAGGCCAGCACGTGACAAGCGAGTGAGCCCAGGTTTTCCAGCCACACCCTCTGTGCCGACAATGTGCCAGTCCCCTCCCCTGCTCCTTTTGTCTTCTCCATCGTCCTTGCCACCCAGAGGCTAGTGTGGCCATGGCACCACTGCTCCCCAGCTCTGTGGCCTCCAGTCCATCACTTCGCTGCTCAGTGCCTCTGTTTCTTCATCTGTTAATGCAAACGGCTGCCACATCTTCAAAGGCCCGTTGTGGGAATTAATATGATAATACTCATTCTAAGATTCATTATAAGACCATAATATTCATTCATTGTAAGAACAAGATGATACTTAACAATGTGCTCAGCACTGCAGTAGGTATCTTTTTTTTTTAATATTTTATTTTTAGAGATAGGGAAAGGGAGGGAGAAACATCACTGTGTGGTTGCCTCTTGCACTCCCCCTACTGGGGACCTGGCCCACAACCCAGGCATGTGCCCTGACTGGGAATTCAACCTGCGATCCTTTGCTTTGCAGTCCAGCGCTCAATCCACTGAGCCACCCCAGCCCTGGTACTCTTACTCTCATCACGCAGAGACCGCTCAGGATCAGGGCAGCTGAGAGCCTTGTAGTGTGTGTCTTTCCCCAAAGGCAGCCCACTTTCTTAGGAAATGGGACAGTTCTGCCCTCCCACACTTCCCGGGGCCAAGGCCGCCTCTCTCCAGCAGGCGGAGCTCATTTCACTTACTGGACCCACTGAGCCAACACCGCTGCTCCTCTGTCCACTGCTGGGGACAGCGGTGGCCAAGCAGATGGCCCTGCCGTACAGATATCACACGCCATCCAATAAAGTCATTCACTCCTTTCACAGCTAGAAGAGCATCATTTGTCAGCCAGTGGCACTACCACCTACGTGTGTATCCACGTGGGCTGGGAAGGGCAGCCCTGTGGTCCTGTGCAGAGAGTGAAGAAATCTGAGGGCGTGGGACACACAGGAGCTCCACAGAATGGGGGAACACGAGAGCAGGTGAGGGAGCTAACCTGGGAAGTGGTCAGGCTCAGGAGAAGGGGTCCTGAGAGGGGAGGTGTCACTGGCCCTGCTCGCCTGGCCTGGTGGTCACACGGGCTGGGGCTGTGTTGATGGCCTGGCCCAGCACTGGGTGTGCCCAGCTTTGCCTCACTTTCAGGATGCAGAGTGCACGCAGTGGCTTTGTAAGGACGTCAGAAACCGAGTGAGGAGATAGAAAATAAAAATCAGCACAGGACTCCTTAAAAAAGCCACACCCCCTCCTTCTGTCACTTCGACCTCTGCCCTGCCCCCTCCAGCCTCCCCTGAAAGGGGAGCTCCACTCTCCTCTCAGCTCCCTGGGGAGTCCTCCTCATGACTGCCATTGCCCCGCCTTCTCCTCCTGGACCGAGAGGATCGAGTTCCCATTCTGGGGTCCAAACAGCACATGCATGCGCACACACACACGTTTTTCCTGGAGACTCGGTGGGCCAAGTACTCGGTGCTGCCGCCAGGAGGTGGATCCCCTGGTTAAGGGGTCAGCCGCTGGCTGTGGCTGGAGTGGGCGATTGCCGCAGGAAGGAGCATGCGCCCCTGCCCCGTCTGTCAGGAGGCCAGGGAGGCTGCCAGGCCTTCCTTGCCCGAGCCCTGCCCGCTGCACCCGGACCAGCAGAAAGAGGGAGGGGGAAGGGAAAGGGCTCTCTGCTCAGTCCCTTCTCTGTCTGCTGTCACTCTGGGGCTACCGAGCTTCTGGGGTGTGTGTGTAGAGGGAACTGCAAAGACACTCTGCATTGGGGTCCAAGGACCGACTAGGCTGGGTGGGCCTTCTGCACACAGGAGGCAGGGGCCATCTAGACCTGGCCTCGCTGGCCAGCTGACAGGCCAGCCCAACTGTGGGCGCAGTGGCCCGCCACTGCACCGGGCCGTGGACCTGAAGCCATGGCCTCTACTCTTCCTGACATCAGTGCTCTGAGACCCGTGAGTGCTGGTAGAGCGTTCATTTCACTGCTGAGGAAATAGAGGCTTGAAGAGATCAAGCAGTTTGGTCACAGAACAGGAAGAGGCTGGCACACAGCCCAGGCCCACGCGAGTCCGGGTCCTACCCTCTGGTCCAGTCCATCCCATCTGCCCCACCCCACAGGGTCCCTGGAGGAGGAGCCCAGAGCAAGGACACGGTGCCTGGGTGGCCAGAAAGGACTTGAAAGCCCCGTCCCTCCTGAGAAGCCCCAGAGGCCCAGTCTCTGCTCGCACAGCCCGACCACAACACGATCACAGGCTACTGGAGGGCAGAGAGGGAGACCCACACCAGCTGGGGATGCCCCAGCCTAGTGCATGCCAGGAAGAAGAGAACAGAGAGGGATTCGCACGCAGAGGAAAAGACTTCTGTGCCTGAAACCGCAACTCAGTGTCTTGCTCTGAGAGACACTGGCGGGACTCTGAGTTCAGGAACTTCCCACAGGTAGGAGGGAGGACCATGAAGTGGGGGACGGGCCTGGTGCCCTACCCGGAGAGTCAAGTGGGGCTGCCCCCGGCCCTCCCTGCCCGGTGTGGAAAGAAAGTCCCGCTCCATGGTGACCTTTGGCCAAAGCTCGGCCGCAGGTAGTTCAGAGAGTAAGTGCTTCGGCCATGGGAGTCTGAGACAGCCCCCTACACACGTCCTCAGGCCTAAGGTCCGAGGCAGCCTCAGGCCCGGGTAACTCCCACAGAGCCACCTGCGCCCCAGCCGGCTGCTCCGCCTGAGCCTGCCCTCGGCGCGGTGGGCAGTGGAGCTCACGCCGACACCCGCAGGATGACGAGGCTGGGAAGAGGGTTTGGCTGAAAGAACAGCGTGCAGAGTCTCCGAGGCAAGTGCTACAGAGATTTGTGTGGCTAGAGTGGTGAAAGGAGAGAAAATGCCGTCTGGAAGCTAGACAATGCCAGGCCTCGTAGGCTGTAGTAGGAATTTTAGGCATTTTTCTTCAGACAAGGAGACGCCATTGGAGGGTTTTAGATGGGGAAGGTGTGCTATGATCAGATTCTTGTTATTGTAGTAAAACATAAATGGTATGGATGGTACCATTTTAAGGCCAGAAAGATTGGCAAGAAGTATTCAAAGTGATGAAAAGCAGGGACCTACAGCCAAGATTGCTCTACCCAGCAGCAAACTAAAGGAGTTTGTCATCACCAAACCAGTATTAAATGAAATGTTAAAGGGTCTTCTTTAAGAAGAAAAGAGATAAAAAATGTGAACAATAAAATGGCAATAAGTGCATATCTACCAACCATCGATCGAACCTAAAAGACAAAACAAACAAGCAGAACAGAAACAGACTCATAGATACAGAGGACGTTTTGCTCGTTGCCCAGCAGAACGGGGTTGGGGGGACGGGAAAGGGGGACGGACTAAGAGGCACGGGTTGGTAGTTACGGAGCAGTCATGGGGTGTGAAGCCCAGCGCAGCGAACAGAGTCGATAACCTTCTAGTACCCACGTGTCTACCAGACAAAGAAGCGTGCCGGGGACAGAGGCCTGGCAGAGGGAGAGAAAGCTGCGGGGCGCCTGGGAACCAGTGTGCAAACTCCCAAGAGCCAGGTTAGGAGAGCCTTTCAGCCAGGAAAAAGTGTCACTGTGCAAATTATTGGTGTGCCCATTGGATGTGACCACGTGAATGTCATCAGCAACCCTGACAGGGTCACTCTGGGAGGCAAGAAGACTGCCTCTCGAGAGTGGGGAAAGAAGCATGAGAGGGACAGATTTTGTGGTTTGAGTGCTTAGGGGTGCCATTTTCAGGGACCGAGAACCCTGTCGGGGAACAAAGAACTGGAAATAATCTAGTCGCTCAGTTTTACCCCTCAAGCCTGGATCAGAAGCCCTCGCCCCTGCCCTGTGCGCCCACCACCGCAGCCCAAATAACGCGTGTACAGCGATTTCCCACTTCCGGTGGGGCTCCCTCAGCCAGGGGGTGGGCTGCTTTGAGGTGGGGTCCTGTCCCTCTCCTGGGTGTCTGCACCTAGCACAGGGCCTGGCACGCAGCAAAGATTCAAAAATTGTCTGCCCTGTTACCCCAGGGCCCGGTTTCCAGAGCACAAATGGCCCCTTCATTTAAGAGGGTGGGCCCAGCCCTGGCAGGTGTGTCTCAGCTGGCTGAAGCATCGTTCTGCTGACCAGAGTTTCACGGGTTTGATTCCTGGTCAGGGCACCCACCCAGGTTGCACTCCCCTCGGGTTGCTTGCAGGAAAGCCGATGGTGGCCTGGTGGCATCCCCGTCCCCGGACAGCCCACCAGCTTTGCCTCTGACCGCTTCGTCTGAGAAGAGTCCCCAGCTGAGAGAGGGTGCTGGTGGCCAGCCCACCCAGGGCGAGGAGAACATCTGGGGCCAGAGAACAGACACCTGGCTGTTAATCACACTGCAGGGGGGGTCACCTCATCTGGACCAGGTGACCCGACTCTCCAGCCCCTTTGGAGAGAAGTTTCATGCTTAGAGAGTGCCCCCCAACTCCAAGATCCTCTGCCTCCGGTTCATTAGAAGGAGGAAGTTCTGAGATTGGGGAACAGCAGAGACAGAGGGGAACACCATCTGATTAAATACCCTCATTTGGGCGGAAATGAGTTTCCGAGT